GACAGTAATAAAAACTGATTTTCTTAAATAATGTAACATAATATTAATTAATCTGATTTAAATAAAAAAAATAAGAGCAACAATAATTCATTTAAATCATAATAATATAACTAGAAACTATTTAATTATTAATGAAGCTAATATAAAAGTAAGATATCAATCGATATTCATGGATGTTCACAAAGGCTTATTGCGTTKGTACTTATGCTATGTGCATTAATTATCATTTTAAGACAATCCTCATATAATCTAAATGGTCGTTTTACATTAGCATACAAAAGTTTAATGAATGAGTATAAATAATTTAAATGCTGAAAATGATCTTTTGGTTCTATTGACTCTGAAAATTTCACAAACTTGATGCACTCGGATGCCACAGTACCTTCCATACTAGAGTTCAGTATAATTCTATAAATATATAATAATCATAATATATACATAGATCTTGATTATAAAATTTAAATATGTAACATACAATGTAGAGAGTTTATATTGTATAAAGTGAAATGTTGGCCAATTCTTTATGCAAGGTTCGCAGTAGCACTTAAAGTTAAAACGATTTTTGCAAACTCTTTGTCTTGATTCTTTATCATGTATTTTAAACATAATTCCATAAGTACAGTACAACTAGACGGTTACAAATAAAAAAATACAAAAATACAAAAGGTATTAATATATAGGTTAGGTAATAAGGTAATACGATATCAAAAATCATGTCTTCTTGATTGTAGGACTTATGCAATACCTAAAGAGTAAAGATCATACAAAAATAATATAATTTTATTTTATGGTAATATTAATATATTATACTAGGTATCTTATTGTTCTTATAACCAACCTAAATTAGGTATATATTTTAAGTAGACGTTTCATGATGTGCAAAATTTAAAAACCAGGGTAATCGTAATAGTGTACCTCGGCAAATGAGCACCGCTCTGCTATATATTATTTTCGAGTGGGCTACTGCGCCTAATAGATGTGTTATTTCTGAATTCAATGATGAATAACAAAAAAAATCATTAACTTATATCCTTTGACGAAAAAACTAAATTTGAATCAGTTGAAACACTCATAAAATAAATAATTTGAATTTTCGGTAAACTTTTTTTTTTTAATTTAAGAAAGTAAAAACTAATGAGAAATCTTGAATTAAATTTTAAAATAAAAGTTGTATGAATATCAAACTTAGTAGTGGTTACTGGCTTTGACAAATTTTGTAAAAATTCCATCTTCAGGTGCTCATTAAATATTATTGTGGATTTACTTACGCTTAATTTTTTTTCCAATTTGCACAAAAACTTATGAGGAACCTTGTACTTAATTTTTACAAATGTTCATCGACAATAGCCTAATAAAAACTAAAAAAAAATTAATTTTATAAATAGCTCCAAAAGAATCAAATATTTTGAAACTCGAATGGTGTACTCGTATGAAAAATGCTATTATAAGCATCCACTAAAAATTTAAAGTATCTACTATTCTATAGTCTATACAATTATTGAATTATTATTATTTTTAGAGTCACACCGAAACGCAAAAATCAAAGAAAAGATGCTGAAATAGAAAATTAAAGAATTTTTACTGTTTCAAAAAGTGATTGCAGACACAAAAAAATAGGGTAAGTGATGAGTTCAATGATAAATATGATTGTATACTAAAAACGATTTTGAACAGCTTGTAAAGATGAAATAAATTTTACATAAAAATTCCCATTTTTCCTTAATTTTTTTTTTTTGTTTTCTTCGAGACTTTTGAAAACTATAAATAATTTTAAACTTCAACATTCTGAATATACGAACTAGATTCAGTTTCCTATTGTAAAAGATACGGAAATTGAAAATCAAAGCATTATTTCAACTACTTAATCATAGACAAAAATAAAAACCTAACAACCTAATTTAAGAACGTTCTTCTGAGTCTAAAACACAATTTTCATATAATATTTGAAACTTCAACACATTTACATTTAGATATTTTATCGCTGTTAATACCTTACCTGGCTTACCCCTACACAAACMTCTTTTAGAAATGTCATGCATTGATATTAATAGTTTATTATACACATTTGAGAGGCTGGTGAACCACACTCTACACCAACAGCCCTTAATCAATATTATTATAGCDCGAGTTTTAGAGTGTTTTTAGGTTACGAATTTATTAACCTTTTTATTAGAAATACCTATTATAATGATTATTATAGTCACAGTAGGTACCAAAGTGATGTGTGACCAACAATGAATCATAAAAAAAAAAAGAATAAATAAACTGTATAATAATATAATAATATAATCACCTGAGTGCCTTTAGGAATTGGTTGAACTGCTTTCATAACTCTAATTCTATCAGTTATTTCTCCACTTCGCATTATATTTGCATCACAAGAATGGTTAAACAATGAAATGGTTGGATACAAAGTTAATGCAAATGGAGTAGAAAGTTGGCGTTCTATTCGAAAAGATATAGAAGGGGCATTGACGTTTAACTTTCTGCTATTTAAATCTAAAACAGTTAGAATTCGCACCAAGGAAGCACCCACAGTACCTATATGACATTCTGGAATTTTCAAGCCACTTAATACCAAATAATGCAACATATCAACAGCAATACAGTTAAAAAAAAACAAGAGGTCTATTGAYATTTTGTTTTCATTACTTTCCAAAGAATAAGCCGTTAAAAAATTATTAGACTTATATTGACCACTCTCATCAAAACCCCTTGTTAAAGAATCAATTTTAGATTCAGAAAAATTGTCAACGATCGAACAATATTTTTTTAAGCCCATTTTTGTATAGGCTTTTAAAAACCACTTCATTGCAAGTTGATTCATTTTTACTATTCCTGGTGTTAATTTGATGAAATGCATAATTGGACATTCCAGATAATGTCCATCTTTGTAATCTTTATTCATACAGTCTTTATTGCAGTAATAAACCTAATTAAATAATATTAATATATTAACATATTTTCTATAATTTCCAAAACAGTTTTAGATACATAATAATAGGTATACATACTAAAAATATAATTTTTAATTCAAGATTTTAATGTTTGCAAATAAATAAAAAAAAATCATCAAGTAATTTATAGCGAAATATTATATAAGTATATTTAGATAGTTTAGATTTGTTAAGCTTATTTTTAAATTTTAAACTAAGCAAACAGAGATAAATTTATTGTATTTTCGATGTATTTAACGCATACCTATTACTTAATATTTTCACTTGAAATATATATGAAAAAAACATACCAAGAAACATTTTGGACAGTGATAAAGAGCCACGTTCAACTTCAGACAACCATTATAATGACAAACGGATGTATTATTTGAAAAAGGCCCACAAATGTAAGGTTCGTCTATGGCCACAACATCACCTAAAAATTAATAGTTAATATAAATCATTTACAAATAATATTTTTTCATTAAAAAACTTATTTTTTATTTAATAAATGAAATTATTCACAGGTAAGTATATTAGTACTTAGGTAACCTAACCTAATATAAGTGCAATTACCCAGGAACACTCATTTTTATTTATTTATTTTGTAACGTTTCTCGAGTTCCAAAAYTATATTAGTTTAAAAAATAAAACTTTATTTAATAACATTGCTGAATTTGGCTGTATAATCAAGCACACTGCTTCTCAACTTTTTTATTATAGGGCCCCCTAAATTTAATGTAAAACTGTCAAGGCCCCTAAACATTTTATTATTATTTAATAACAGTAACCTAACACTATGGTCGGTTATAATATAACTCAATAAATTAGCGT